TTCCCCCCACCCTGAGCAATCGGTCATTGGGATTTGTTGGGCTGCTGAGGTGGGTTAAAGAGGAAATTACTCTTTGACTTCCCCTTTTTAAACGCCCACCCTTTCGACTGGTCTTGCTTCTTCCCATAAAGTCCCCTCTTCTCTTTACGGAAGTTTTGACCCCTTTGACCACGAAAAAACTGTTTCCCCTTCTGCTTGGGTGGCAAGGGGAAACCTTTCTTCTTGTCCTCGGATCTATCCAACACTGCCTCCAACTCCTGGCCAAACAGCAAGTCCCCTTTAAACGGGAGCCCGCATAACTTTGCCTTAGAGGATGCATCTCCTGCCCAAGTTTTGAGCCACAAAGCTCTCCTAGAGGAGTTGATCAATGCCGTAGTTCGAGCTGAGTACCTCATCTGCTTCAACTGGTAAGTGTCTTCACTGCACCCACTCCAGAGCCTACCCCCTCCATGCAACCAAGAGGGGGTGCCGTACACCGCTCAGGGTAACACCCTTGCCACTACTGCACACCGGGGGGGTCACCATCTGGAGCCACTCACGTACAGGAGGATGGTTGCCCTCCCTGAATGACGGAGGGGAACCTAGGCCTAGTCTCGGGTGGGGGTCCGACAAGGGATCCCTGTATGCGCTGCAGCAGGAAATCCTGGAGTAGGTCCCAACGCATATCAGGGTTAGGCTCTGCCCTGGGGCAAATAGAAAAACGAGCCCTGAAAACAACAAACATTACGATGTGAACCTGTGTAGCCGGAGGAAACACAAAAAAACTGAATTGGGATGGAAGGAGGGGTCTATTTATTTAAATGTGTTTGATGTGTTTCCTGTTGCATGCAGGCGGAGCCTTATCTCATGGGCTGTCCTGGAAGATGACTGGGGAAATATGAAATCTAAATAACGAACCGATGCTGGCATATACAAGCCCTACAATAATGTGAGAAAAGTAGGTAGACTATAGACCTTACTCCACCCCAACCAAAATCTACCAAATTCAATCTAATTGCTTATCTGGAATATTAAACTTTTGTTTTAATGTCTTGTTTTTTGAGGTTTTCGTGTTTTTTGTTTTTGTTTTTTGATTGTTGTATCGTCTTAAGGTGTAATTTTGTATTGTGTTATATGAATCCTTGGATGAAAATAATAAAAACTTTTGAAACATAAATAACGAACCGAATCGAATTTCCGATCCGAAATCCAAAAAAACGAAATAAATAAAAATCCGAATCAATCCAAAAAGAATCATTTTTTTGCGAGGTTACATGCCTAGTGTCAAGTTGCACTACTGTGCGCTGTGATGCTATAATGCAGTGCAGTGTTTGGGTGTTTTTTTGTATTGTTTTCAATGTCTACCTCTATGTACATTTTATGCACTGCAGTGTGTTGGGACTCATTACAGTGCACTGTAACGTGCTGCGATAACATGATGCCTGTCCCAACGCACATCAACACAGTAGGTGGACAGACCCTATACAAAGCAAGGCTTTTTACCTTCTCTTTGCATTGGGACTGAGTTGGGCAAGGCTGCCCAACAGGGCTGGTGTGAAGCAGCCCTTTAGATAAGCTGCCTCTGCGATGAAGGATTGGTCTGTCAAGTTGGAGCATAGCATTTATAACTTCTGTCCATATAAATCCTTTTGAATATTTGACAAGTCATTCAGTTGATGATAGTTATGTATCTGAATTCAATACACAGTGTGATGAACAAACTAACATCTCTATTGGTCCAATGAATCAAAAGGAAGGAACTAATACACGTTAAGAAGAATTTTGTGACTTTTGTTCCAGTTCTGCCAATTTGCAGATATTAAGGACTGTTAAAGACAGCAAAAGTTGTTAACTGTCAGGGGAGACTACAAGGATCTACAGTCATCCAGCCTGTCGCCCTGGGGACACTTGCTAGAAGAAAATCCAGTCAAACGGAAGAAAGGAAAAAAATTCTCCAGAGAAAAAAATTTAGCTCCTTACTCCTGACGCTAGGCAAAAAACTGGAGACTTGTCAGCAGGTGGGGGGTTTGGCCACCGGCAGGGGCCGCCCCTAGGCTGTAATTGGTCTTTAGTTTTGTGCCTAGCGTCCTTCTCCTGCAGGTGGCGATATTACCCTACCATTCAGGATCTACGATCTGTTGCCTGTGTCCTTCAATGAACGGGAGAGAAAAGGATTCATCTAATATGATGGATGATTACAATTGCTACCAGCTTTCAGAAGACATTAAGATGGCATTACAAAATGGAGATAATGGAGGAATTGTATCATCTGACATGTGACAACACGTCTGTGAAGGTTCTCATTCATCCAGGTCATGGTATATCTGTAAAAAATAGATCAAGGCAACTGGATTTGCTGTATTTTGCTTGAAGACGTTTCGCTGGTCATCCGATCACCGTTCTTAAAGCTGGCCATACACCTATAGATTATCTGCAGATTTTCTATGGGCAGATGGAAAAAGTGCAACAGATTCCTCCATCTACGCTAAACTGTGTGGATGGAGGAATCTCCCTCTGGGCCAAGCTATAGTATCTTGCTAGTCGGCCCCGCTGACTCTCTAAATACCTGAACAATCTGATTGGATGCAGGCACTGTTCAGGTGTTTTTAGAGCCAGCGGGGCCGACTAGCAAAATACTGAAGCTTGGCCCATTGGAAGATTCTTCCATCCACACAGTTTAGCGTAGATGGAGGACTCTGTGGCACTTTTTCCATCTGACCACAGAAAGTCTGCAGATACTCTACAGGTGTATGGCCAGCTTAATTCTGAATTGAGAAAGCTAGCTGAATGACCATCGAATCGTCTTAAAGAAAAATACAGCAAGTCCATTTGCCTTGATTTACTTTTAACAGATATGTGAAAACAAGTGCAGACACTTACATTCCAAAACAGAAAACTCTACACAGCAAGAAATTCCTCGTGTTAACAACACCGTGCAAAAATAAGCACGTCAGTTTGACAGTACTGCACATGTTATGAGTCCATATTATTTCAAGGAGTTAGGCCATTATGACTATTTGATTCAGAGATAATTTCCAGACATGTACTGACAAACAAGGAAATTCATATATGAAAGTAGCATCACCCTAACTTAGGCTAAATTCCATGCAAAGTTCAAAATACAAGGTATACACCACCATAGTATGTCTCCCACTCCAACGCCTCTCATGTGTTTGACCACCTGAGCTTAATCATCCTCTATGATGGTGAAACGCATGAGAGGCTTTGGAGTGGGAGAGATACTATGGTGGTGTATACCTTGTATTTTGAACTTTGCATGGAATTTACACTAAAGTTGGATTTTTATGGGCCTCGGTTTCGTGCGGCTGATTGGAGAGATATTGTTTGACAAGTGCGAGCACACTGCAGCCTGCACCCGATGTTTGTATTGATCTGCAGTCTGGTGGAATTGGAGCGGTGAGTCTTTTTTGCTTTTTTAAACAACCGAGATATATTTATATTAGACATTTTCTGTATATTTCTGACATTTTGTAGTAGAGCATGCCTCCCAACAGATTCTTTGTCATGTTCCGGAATTATATACTGGAATAGTGAATAGCACAGCTGTATAAATTGGTGGTGGTGTTGATGTGGTTATCAGCAGCATTGTGCGTATGTTTTTGTAAAGGGAAAGTTACATGTACTCTCTGTAAGCTCATATTTTAGGTTATTTCTTTGGATGATTGCTCTTCCTTTCTTTTAGATTTTACTATAGATTAGCCACTAGATGCATCATTGATTAGCTACCACAATTAACCTGCCTGTTTAAGCCAGCTATACACTGTATGCATTTTGGACAGTTCTTGATGAACCGGCTGAAATTCGCAGTGGGTGGCCCTGATGCCGTATGATCGAAGAATCTAGATGCAAAAACGTAAGGCAAAGAGAGATGGCAGCCAATGAGCTGCCATCAGTGTTCATGTATTCTGACAGGGGCACCTCCACTGCTGCCAGAATACAAAGCACGGGGTTCGTCCAAGCACGATGTTCAGTGTGGATGAAGGAATCGGTTATATTTTTCTTTGTTCAGTCCACAGGTTGAACAACAAAAATTATAACTGTGTATACCCAGCTTTAAAGCCAAAGTTAAATGCCCCTTTTCTCCATTGCACAGTCTCTCACCTAACATCTCTGATATTCTTTAACTAGAAGTCTCCTCCTATACCTCCTATACATTTTCCCTCTTTCTTCTTCATTTCTCTTTGATCCCTTCTTGTTCATTTCCTTCTCTACTTTAAAATGTAACCGTTTATGATTATTGGACGTTCCATAGATACACTACATGTCCCTGCATGTCAGAGGTACCATGTTGACTCACAGCCTCCCATCTTTTAACCCCCTACCACTCTTTGCTAGGGCAATCAATGTTGTCTTACCCAATTATATTATCACCCAGTCGTGTTACACCCCTCTATGGTGTCCCAACTTACTGATCTATTCTCAGTTGTTCATTATTTAATGCCTTTTGATGCTTACGGCCCGAGTGTCGTACTATATACAATTCGAGCTACCCTTCCCAACCTGCCACTCTGGTCATTCTATGCCGTCACATGTACCTCCTTTGGGACCACACACTCATTGCACATTTGTAATTTGGATTTGTCCCTCTTTGTATTTGGGACCAAAAAAAAAAATGTGGCATTATACTTAATTGCTATGTCGAACTGTTCTTTTTTAATGTATTGTCTTGAAATCTTAATAAAGAATTAAAGTTCTAAAAAAAACAACTAACACTCTCTTTTTGTTATGCCTGATGGTCCCTGTACGGGGAACCAGTGTCACCATTTCTCGGTGGCTCAGACAGATCATTAACATGAACAGATAATAGTGGAGCTCAGAGTGATAATAAATGCTTAGTCCAAAAACTCGGTAGCTGTTGCACACTCCAGTGAATGAAATAGTGAATAAGGTCTGTTGCACTTACCACAAATAAAGTACTTGATGTGCGTCTTGAAGAGGACGAATGGCTTTTCTTCAGAACTGTTGTATAAAAGACTGACCTATTTTTGCTAGCAATATTTTGGTTTTACTGCTACTACCGTATTTTTCGCTCCATAAGACGCACTTTTTTCCCCCCAAAAGGAGGGGGAAAATGTGCCTGCATCTTATGGAGCGAATCCCGACGCCCGAGACATGCAGTTTCGGGCGCCGGGCGAGTAGTAGGAGCTACTGCTCGTTTAATACGAGTGATCTAATGAGATCACTCGTATTAAAGCCGAGCAGCGGCGGCGGTGATCGAGTTCACCAGCAGGAGCCACTGCTCGTTTAATACGAGTGATCTAATGAGATCACTCGTATTAAAACCGAGCAGCGGCGACGATCGAGATCACCATAGAGCAGACGAAGAACGGACTTTCTTCGTCTGCTCTGTGTGACCACTGAGACCGTGGCGCTGTAATCACAGCGCCACCGGTCTCAGCGCTCACTAACTGCAGCTTCTGTCACAGCTTCTGTCATAGAAGCTGTGACAGAATCTACAGTATGTCGAGTGCTCCATAAGGCGCGCTGGACCTCCCTGCGTCCTATGGTCCGGTGCGTCTTATGGACCGCAAAATACGGTACTCTCTTATCTTGCCGATTGCAGCTTTTCCTGCATGGCCAGCCTCAGTGCCTTGTCTATAGACCCCGCTGAGCTGGACAATGCAGGGATAGCCTGGAAGTGATCGTCAGGCACTGTGTTTTATCTGGGGCACTTTACAGACTCCATTGTGGTAAAAAGTTAGCTTTCATGAATTAAGTGCAAGAATTTTAAAGGGACCACACTGCCAGAAATGTATTACAAATGCTTTATTGAATCACCCCCAAACAGTCTCCAGTCCAGAGAAAATTTGTATAAGACTGCACAGAAAAAAAAATCAAAAGTAGAAAAAGAAAAAAACGAACATTACATTTTCAAAAGCACAAATCATTTTTTAACTATAACTGCCGTCTTGTCCTACTGGATGCTGTTGACACAATTTTTCTCCTTTCTTGCACTTTGGACACTTGAGAAGTGGATGGTGTTTCGGTGGCCTGCGATAATCCTGGCAATCAAAGAAAATTAACTTTAATGTAAAGCAATAGGAAAAGAAATGGCCTGGAATGATCCACAGCAACCAGAAAATAGGATTTTGTTCTTACTGTAAAGTCCACAAAGGAACACACTCTGAAGAATTCTGGGATGTAGGATTATGCTGCTGCCTTCAGAAAATAATGGACACCAGGCAAAAAAAAGTAAAACCTGTCACTAAGGCAATAACCCCTCCCACCTGCCAGTTGTAGTACGCAGCATAAAAGGAAATTAGGGGAGGGAGCTGTGTCCCTCAATGGACTCAGAGAAAAAGATTTTATGGTAAGAACAAAACCCTATTTTTTCATCCGTTGAGGGACACAGCTTTGAAGAATTCTGAGACATGGAGATGGCCAAAAGAAGTCCAAAACAGAGACGGGCACACAAAATATTCCAAAAGAACCAGCAACATGTCGGTAAGACAACTAGATTATTAAAAAAGAGAAAAGCGAGGAACATATAAAGAACATTAAAAAAATGGTTTGATAAGCACAGCCGTTCTAGGCATTTCAAGCTTTTTCACAATAAGGACCCTAGAGGTGTAAAAAAATATAGGGATTGATAAGAGAGGAAGACACTGGAGGGTTTCCAACTTAAAAAAGGGAGGTTTCAAAAAATGAATCCAAGTGGATATTTGCCTTGGACACCATTTCCCAAAGGCTTAAATATAGATTTTGATCCTATTTTTTAAATAATTATTAATTAGGTAGTTTTAATATGTGGCCGTTTTCATGCACAATATTTATTTGTTCAATTTCTCACTGATTGCCATTATTGTATGGTTGACAGGTAGTTACATTGTTTATATAAATTATTCATGTTTATGGTAATTCTTCCTTGTATTTGTATCAGAATTTTGTTACTTTTTTTTTAACTAAGTGTTTGCAACGGATCATTTTTGCTAGAAACTAATTTGTGGGGACATTACTGGAGGATTAAATGTATTACACCTGCGATAATTAATAATATATATAGTGATTGGGAAATAGCTTCAGCGAGGTCTGCCGTCCTTTGAGAACGCCCTAAATGACTAAACGCGTTAAGGGGTGGACTCTGCTGAAGCTATCTTGATCTGGGAGCTTGTTTGGAGAGAGCACGCTGTGAGGAATCCAATAAGGGATCTTTCTATTTGATTGCTGACCAGCAAATTTTTAATTCAGCCTATGTGAGTAGGATTGATTCTCTTTAATAAACATTGTAATGATGTGACTGCACGATGAGCGTTTGTCTGTTCTATTTTAATATGATGATGTAAGCAGTGGAGGAAGAACTGAATCTTTTGCGGATTGAAGCACTGACACTGGAGGAAAAATACTGCATTTGAGCGCAATTTTACATCACGCTTTATTTGGCCAGCTCATTGCAGAGGGTCAAATCATTCTGGTGAGTGTGGAAAGAAAGCTTTACCTATTCACGTGGAGAGAATCCATTTCAGCACTTAAATAAGTTTGATAGGCACGGCCTTGGATATATATCCAGCATACCCAGCAGTCTCAGAGCTGTCTCTCAACTGCCACCAAACAGTATTTGGGGCCGTGACGGAGGAGCCGCCACCCCAAAAAGATATATTTTCTGAAAGCAGAGACCCAGGAGAATAATAGAATGTCAGTTGCATTTTTTAATGTCGCATGATATTAGCGCAACAGTTTAGCAAATCCGTATTGTCAACATTTACATTTTGTAAACTTTTTTTTTTCAATACATTTTATGGCGATCACATGACTCGCTTTCATCATTTTAGACATTGGGGTTTATTTACTAACGGAATAGAGTAGGTTCATCTTCCAGTTTGAATTTTCATTTAGCTTAGTGAATGTGGTGAAGTTAAGTGAAAATAGCCAATCTTGTGGAAAAAAAAATACAATCATTGAATTTTTGCTTTCACATGATTGGATGATTTCACTCAGCACAGCTTCAACTCTTTTGCTAAGCAATGTGAATTCTATCATTCAGTTTTGGCTGCAGTCTACTTTTAAACCAAAAGTTAAAATCAACATACTTGGAATTTCTTGCATCCATGGCTCCGTGCACTGCGGGCATCTTGGCCCTGGCTGCCCTCTGAAATACTTTTCCACGCATGTCAAGTGAATCTTGATACCACAATTTTCACAAATTTGTCCCTGTATATTACATACAAAATGATAGGATTATTTCATTTCTCTGAGTTCCATAAGAAACGCTACTCTCTTAATCATGACAAATGGGTTATAGTGATACCTACAGGAGCACAAAACAAAAGTTCAGCCTAGGAGTAGGCCCCTGCTGATGGCCAAATGCTCCTCACTTTCTGAAGAGCTCAGTTAGTGAACAAGCACTAGAAGGAGTAAAACGTTCAAAAAAACATGGGCAACAGCAGACACTCAATAGCTGCCCAAACTCAAGTGACAAGCACTCTGTTTGCACCACTGCAGCCTCCCCAGGACATAAGCTACAATCCTGAGGGGTCATGCATTCATTAGGGTGGGGGAGGAGGAAGGGCTGGTTGCTCGGCAACAGAAAATCTTGGAAGAAAAAAAAAAAAATCAAAGAAAAGAAAATCTGCTCGGGCAGACCGAAAGAAAAGATATCCATCCTCCCAGGACACCAGCAAAGATGAAAGCATGCTGAGAGTACGAGCAGTTATCCTGGGCTTGCCTACAAGTCTGTTTGCCAGTTTCCAATGTAGGGGACAGTATAGCCCGACATTATAGGACTTTGTGTGTTTCGAAATGAAAGAAATCCTATTTTTACTTTCATTCATTGACAGATATGGCTCTCAATCTTTACAATTGGGACCTCCCAAAGCAGTGCATACAGAGGGGTGGGCAACAGCAAAACAAACTAGAGAAAGTCAACAACTCAGGGCTTGTTCACACCGAATGCGGTGCATTCCAGAGCGGTAACTGCTGGAACGCACCGCGATCCCTCACGGAACTTCCCCCTGCGCTCTGGAGCGGGAGGGGGCGTGGCGGTGCATTGAATTCAATGGCACCGCTTCCACGCCCCTCATGCGATCGCACACATGGCAAAACTTTGCCTGCGTTCCGTTCCGCTGCAAACGCAAAAAATAGCGCTCTGGAACGCACTGCATTCGGTGTGAACAAGTCCAAAGTCTTTACCTATGGTGGGCATGGGGAAGTAATTCATAACCATTCAATCACAGTTTTGTAATTGGCTGCTAAAGGCCTAAACGCTATACACATAATCAAAGCTGTACAAATTATGAACAAGTTAACATAGACCCAGAACATCAAATATTATACCTGAATTGCAATGTTGTGGCAAATGTTGCATGTTTTGACCATATCTTGGTATGTATTCTGAATATAATGTTCCATTTCCATTATGCAACGAGTGTGAAGACTGTACTCTCCTTCTTTCTAAGAATCAAGAGAAGTAAGAGGATGAGAAGAAGACTTTACAAAGCCTTAATTTGAAGTCAGCTAACCTGATAAAATGCAAGCTGCAGTGCACAACCAGTTCATATTTAGTACTTTTTCTGGTGATGCTACCTTGGTGAGTATCAACTGCTAACAAAAACATGAACATTTCTGAGCCATAACAAACGTTTGAATGTTAAAAGAGGACTATGGCCCAACCTTTTTTTTGCCATAGTCCTCTAAAGGGTCATCCAAAAGCCAGCATATAGCAGGCTATTGCCAGTGGGCAATAGCCTGCTGTATGCTGGGTTTTGGGTGTCAGCTATATGCTGACATCGTGCAGAGCCACACTGCAGCCTGGAAAGATCCCAACATTATTGTCGGTAGGGATGCACCAATACTAGTATCAGTGCCGATACTAAGTATATTCGGAGAGCTCTCGTACTCCCGACGTGATTGGTCAGGAAGCCAGGCTGCCTAGCAACAAGTGAAGCCGGCTTCCTAGCCAATCAGGAAGCCGGGCAGCACGTCATGTCCTGCCTCCCGACATGATTGGTCAGGAAGTCAGGCTGTCTAGTAAAAAGTGAAGCCAGCTTCCTAGCCAATCAGGAAGCCAGGAGACTTGTCATTACGTGCCACCTGGCTTCCCCTTATGACCCACCGCCTAGGTTCCTGATTGGTCAGCCTCAGAAAGTAAAGCCGGTGTTCTTTCAATAGAATTTCCCAGTCAATTAGATACTCGTACTTGAAGCTGAAAAAGTGGTATCGGTGCATCCCGAATTGTTGGTATTTACCCCACTGCCCGATTGACAGCTGGCTCTGCCTCTCTAGAGGCAAGCACTTGTTGGTGCCAACCAGATAATATACAGTATATGTCCATTGCATTTCTTATATATGGTCGCAGGTTCACTTTAATTCAGCACTCTTTGGGAAAGCTTTCTTTTGGTACATAAGGAACTTCTAAAAACCAACTGTTCTGTCAAAACAAATGTTTTTGCCAACCAACACACCTCAATCAGCCACTTTTCTTGCACAAAGTCCTGCAATAGTTGTTCAATCTCCTTTTTCTTCATTTTCTTGGTTTGAAGCTGATCAGCAAGATTCAAGATGTTTGTGGAGGATGCAAACCCGCTGTCAGAGTCAACAATTAGGTCCATCTACTCATGACAAAAAAAAAACAAAAAACAGCAAGAACATTATGTAAGAAGTGAAAACAATGTATTAAATGTTACCATTTGTGGTCCACACAAGGGAAAGAAATTATGAGCGAATTTTGATTAGCAAAGATAATTTCCCCCAAGATCTACACAGGCCTCTTTCTAGAGACCAAAACAGCTTCCAAGACACACCGATGAAATACAGAGATTATGCAGGAGAGAGGGGCTAAGACAAAACATCACTGGGAGTAATTTATCAAAACAGGAGCAGACAGAATCTGGAGCAGTTGTCCGTCAGCTTCTCTCTTCAATTTGTTCAGTTATGTTTTGAAAATGAAGGAAAGAAGCTGATTGGTTGCCATGGGCAACTGCTCCAAATTTTGTCTGCTCCAGTTTTGATAAATCCCCCCACTATGTTCTGCATCTGGCTGTAGTAACCTTAACATGCATCTTTCTTATGTAGGAGATGTAGCACCTCTTTAGTTGCCAAGCTCTGCCATTAAGCTAAAAGACAATGAAGCGATGATCGTGTTTTCATTCTGTTCTGCAGCGGTGGACACATATCAGGTGTACAGATCACAGGCAGCCTAGCCAATTGTAAGCCAAGCCTCCTCTAATTTGTACACTTGACATCACATGTACCCAACACCAGCCAAAAGGTGATGGAGCACAGAAAGAAGACAGTGTTAAAGGCATTCCAACGGTGGGTAGTAGAAAATCATAGCTTACCGTTTTTCGAAACAACTCCAGCTCATTTTCTGCATAATCTAAAGACATTTTAGTCACTTCATTTTCTGCAAGGTTAACCTAGGGATGAAGAAAAACAGTACAACACTAGGAATTCACTCCAATCAAGTCAAACCCCCATCCCGAACAAAAAAAACCCCACAACTTCAGTTTGCATGCTAGATTACACACATTGGTCATTACTCACAGCAATGATTAGGAAAAAAAAATCATGTTGATTGAGCTGATGATGTGGGGAAGGAGTTCCAACATGTATAATTGTACTGAACAAAAATGTAATATCCTCAGCCAGTCTCTTCAGCATTTGACAAATCCAGGAGTGTCAGATGCCAGTGTCCCCCACATAGTGGTTCCATCATCTGACCCCATGCCAATGCTATCTCCTGTAGTGACGCAGAGGTCTGATGATGGAACTAAAGTGAGGTAGACCACTCATAGAAGTATTGAATGGCAAAGAAATTACGGAGGCTGTGGTGCTGCAACAAATGCAAACTCGGAGACATGGGCCCCCGGAGAGGCGAGTATAAGAGCTCATCTTTCTTTTGCTAACCTGACAGAGTTACTTTAGTGTTTGTAAAATCACACCATTTGCAGAGACTGATGATTTGTAAGAACATGATAAATGCCAGTCACATGATAAATGCCAGTCACTGCAAGGCACATAGAAAACAATTATTTTATATGTGCCCTGATTACACCACAATCTGCATATAGGTTTGTGCAAGGGACTGTTAACCATTTTATTTTCTAGTTAAACTTTATTGAAATTTCTGTTCAATGCAGCCCAGCTGCGGTGCCGTGACTCCTGTCTGCATTTTTTTCGCACTGCGCTGCAACAAACCTATATGCAGATTTGTGGTGTAAGCCCATATGCTAACAGAGGTCATTTTAAACGCATGTCCTGGTGTGAACAAGCCCTTGAAGTGTATGTAAACCGCAACACTGAACTTCTCTTATTTGCACCCTTTTGGTCTGTTAGATTTACCATTAAAAAGCTTGCTATATTTGAAAAGTGCAAAAATATATAGATCCTGCAAGAAATCCAGTAAGCTACTACCATCCTATGCACTATCCCTGTGCTGCACTGTTATCAGTCAGCAGTATTATCAGTTCTCTTTGTGGACAACCGTAGCATACAGTGTTTACAACTCACACACCCACACTCTAGCTGGCCAACACCTTCAAAACATCATATTTGTTTGCCTTCAATGCTGGGCTCTCTATGCTGTACAAGCCTTCACTGAACCACTCCTATTCATTATTTTATTTCTTTTTTTGCTTAACTCAGGGATTTTAAGAGGGATAGATGTCTGCTCCTTGACACTTTGCACAGGCACCAGACAAGAGTTGTCTAAAACTTTCTCACCGCATTTAGGAATTTACATCACAGATATACACTGAGTGGCCAGATTATTATGACCACCTGACGTTTGTAGGCAAATTAGCTATAATTTTGCGCTGAAGTTGCTAGAGGGCCAGACCATTATAAATAGGGAAGCAGGTTGTTTACCACGACAGTAGAAGTGATTTGTTTCTGAAGATACGGGTAAACAACGCGATTTAACAGCCTTTGAACATGGGATGATTGTAGGCGCTTGGAGCCATGGAGCGAGTATCAGCAAAACAGCAGAATTCGTTAAATGTTCAAGAGCAGCTGTTGTTAAAGTGTTTAAAGACTGGACTGTCAGCTGAAAATCTGGGTCTGAACGTGCGAATTGTGGCCGTCAGGGACTAGTCAATGTTAGGGCAGAACGGAGAGTGGCAAGACTGGTACAAGACAACAGAAGGGCAACTGTGCAGTGTCAGATTCCTCGCATCACCTTTCAACATCTCGTGGAGTCACGAGGCGGTCCAACTTAGTCATCTCGTGGAGTCATCTCGTGGCCCAACGAAGTACCGCAGGGTGGTCATAAAAATCCGGCCACTCAGTGTAGATGAAGCATATTAGAAGAAGGATGTAATGAGGACCATGTGGCTCCACAGATGGCACATGTATACAGCCCAATGGTGGTCTGCAAACTACACTTTGAGAATTGATGTGCTAAAAGTCTTACTCCAAGGGCCTCTGCCTTCGGGTTAAAGCGCACCTCTCAATAGTATAAGTTTGTTAAGCATAAAATTATAACATACTGTAGGCATGGCATATTTAAGAATAGCAGTGTCAAGAGCTATTCCACCTCCTACCTCATCTTTCTATTTGCCAGCAATTTTTCCCATCACAGTGATGGGCAAAAAGGAAGGTGGTGTAGTCAGCAGGTTAGCTATCGACACTGCTAGGAAGTGCATAATAGAGCACAAGGGGATCTGAGACTACTGGCACACTCAAGTAAACTTTACTAGGTTATAATTAAATGCCTGTATTTTAGTCCTGGGGCACGTTAAGCATCATTATAGTAGTGAGGGTAGACAGACATGCTTTCAGTAAAGAAGCCAAACAAATACACCGACACTTCCATAAATTTAATTCATACTCAGCATTATCAAGCAATCTTGCTGAATAAGAGCTTGCTGGTGTGAACAAGCTCTTATTCTATCTTTCTTTCACAGACCAACTTGGAGTATGTGGTCCAGTTTGGAGTATGCGGTCCAGTTTTGGTCACCAGTCCTCAGAAAGGATGTCCTTGAGCTGGAGAGAGTCCAGAGAAGGGCAACAAAACTAATTAAGGGGCAGGAGGATCAAAGCTATGAGGCGAGGTTACTAAATTTAAAAACTTGTTCACGCTGGAAGTGAGGTGATTAAGAGGGGACATGTTTTTGATGTACAAAATGTTTAGTGGAGATGGCAACATCAGCAATAAACTTTTTACAGTAAGCTCCCTAACAAAGACTAGAGGCCAAGGAGACGGACCGCCTAGTACCCCGACTGGGTTCCTCCGTCAGAAATCAGCTTCCTCTCTGCTGGAACCTGAATTCCAGTGTCCTCAGCCCAAACCTGCTTAATTATTGGACGGAACCAATATATTAGGACAGAAAGCTAAACCCCTCAAACATCGGTGAAAAGCTGTTTATGGATGCATAGCTGGGCATCCTCTCTCTCCGTGCTCGACCTGTGCAGGACCAGGTTCATCAAGGTGCTCCAACACCTGCTGCATTCGCCACAGGAGTTCCGCCTCCATGGCCAACTACTCCCAGGATGCTCCTCCAATAGTAGACTCATTTATCAGAACCAAGGCACAGAAAATTTAGGACAATAGCACTTTTTTTTTTACCCATGGCCGCCATGACATTTATGCCCTATGTTTCAAACTTGAAAAATAAAACTTCACATACCAGAGTGTAGTAATGTTTTCCATCATTTTCATCAGTTCCTTTCCTAATTTGCATGAACACAGGCTGCAAATGTTTGTTGATGATAGACACAAAGTCATCTAGCTTGTCATGGATATAGTGAACTGGAAAATAAGAAATATGCATTACGTATCAAACATCTAAGTACAAGGTGCTGTGTTTGCAAACGTACCAAACTGCAGGAAGGCCTTAAAGGATCTCAGGCAAGATTAAAAAAAAAAAAAAATACCTTAAATCAGTACATGCACATTTTCCTATGTTTTGTCTCCTTACAACATCCATTAAGGGACTTACCCGACCCAAAGACAGGGGATTTCCCAGAGAGAAAGAGGAGCAGACTGGATGGGACATAGCTCCAGATGCCACGTGGGCACATGGACTGGAGCAAAACCAATGGGATCAGGGACGGTGCATCACTCTGAGCAGCAGCACAGGAAGGATTAGCAGATTCAGCAACTAAATACACAAGGGACAGGCAACCCAAGGGCCACACTAAGCCCCCATTTATAGAAATGGGAGTACACCTTCATGCAGAAGGCTTCTCAGAAAGCTTAGTCTATCTTTGACTTCTAGCCCTACGGGCTGTTTGAGATTCAGACTCTAAGAGCCTGGTGCATGAAGGAGAAGAATGGGACCTCTATCTTGACCTCCTGCGATGAGGCAGAAGTACACTCTGGCTTCCCGTGGACAACTTGATGATGGTATCAAGTGTATAATAAAAGAGACAGCGTCCCTCGAAGGCAAAGGGAGTCAGATGTTCCTTGAAGAAGGCATCAGCATCCCAGCACCTTAACTAGAGTGCTCTGTGCATCTGTATAGACTTCAGCTCCATGTGGGACACAAGTTTAGAAGCTTATCACAACTGAAGTGCAAAGACATCTGTTCCACGCACCGATTCAAGAAAGGTGCCTACCCCAGTGGTGGAGAGATCCTTTTTGGGAGATCTAACCCATTCTGCTGCAGTTTGGAAGATTGAAGTCAACATGGAGCGGTATTAGGAAAGGACAATCCAAATAACTGCATGAAGAGACCAGCTCAAGCAGCAATGTAGTAAGGAATCCCGATTGAATTCAAAAGAAGAATAATACAAAGAAAAAAAATACTAAAGGATAAAAGCTAACAAAAACTGGCTAGACTTCTCAGAAGAGAAGCCGAAACGATGTTCATCCTCCTAGGACATTGGCAAAAAAACTGGAGGCATGCCGAGTAGAGTAGGCGTTACCCTGGACTGGCCTACAGTGTCCAGTCCTACTGTAGGTAACAGTATAACCCGGCAGTATCTCAAATCTTGTGAAATAGCTTTTGACTAGCATTGTTTTCTGACACATCCACTAAAGAAGGGCAAGGATGTTCAAATCATCAGATATGGAAATAGTTATTATTCAGGCTGACACATTTTGTTCAGAAAAAATAATGAATTATGGTATATGATATGATAGTGTCCTGCTGATCCTTTATTGTCAAATCAGCAGGTTGGGTGAGCCCTTGACCAAGCTGTGTTCCCCAACTGGCCTAAGGTCAACGATATGGCAATGTAGACTAGTAGTGGTAGGTAGATTAGATGGCAGATGGTAGGTAAAACAGGAACCTAAAAATAGCAGATCCCAGAAATGGTAGTTGCAGTCGCCGTGTACATTCCAGCTTTGTGAGCTGAGGCATGGTTCTCTTTACAGAGTCATGAAACATGGGTTGAAAACGTAAGAGAGTGAGACACTACTTGTACCATCAATTCAAATAACGTGGAAAGTTCACATCCTTTATCGTATGTTCGATTGTATGCTAGGATTGTGGTTTTGCCTTCTGTAAAGAGTTTAAAGTGACACAAAACTCAGGAGTTAAATCTTGCAAATACATTTAACTACCTTAACCATTAACAAAAATGTATCTTATTTGTGTATCATAGCAAAAAATAGAAAGCTGGGGTTTTTTGGGATGGGAACCAATGTATGGAGTGCGCCGCATCCCGCAGATAGATAACACCCAAGGAGAGCGGAAAAATAGATAAGCCCTACCCATAGGGGCTGGTTCGATTAATGACCACAGCACGGTCTAAACAGTGAAGTTCACCTAGGACAAGGGAGATGGAGAACACTGTCTAGAGTGCGTCAACACCCATAGGTCAGGAGATGCAATGAAATTATCCATTACTATTTTAAATTTATTATATTAAATAAAATAATATTTTTTCAAAAAAACGTTTGGTCTGAAAGTTGTCAGTCGGTTGCCCAAAAAAACCCCAGCTTTCTATTTTTTGCTATATTATTCTCCAGGGGTGCGGCATCCTGTGCCTAGATCTAGGTCATTTCATTTAAAACTTATTTGTGTATCACTCGGCTGTAGATCCTCAAATCATCTCTGAATTGGTGCCGACATTGTCCTTCCTTCTGAATGGGGGCTACTTTTGTCCCCCATGGTCCCTGCGTATGGTAAAGTAGTCACCGCTCCAAGTTCACTCCTGCGATGGACTAATATCTCCGTACAAATCAGTAAATTAAATGTGAGATTGTAGTCCATCACAGGAGTGAGCTTGGAGCGGTGACTACTTTACCACACACAGGGAGGAAGGACAGTGTCAGCACCAATTCAGAGATGATTTGAGGATCTACAGCCGAGTGATACACAAATAAGATACATTTTTGTTATTGGTTAAAGGTACCTGAATGCATTTTTAGGGTTTTACTCCTGAGTTTAGTGTCACTTTAATAAATCAACACAAAAATACACTGAAATACTATTATAAATTACACACTAACCTTTGTGAACATTACAGCAATGTTTATGTAATGTCCTTGCTACAGAACCTTCCAATATGCCATGGGACATTAGCACCTGGAGGAACCTCTGGTGACTTTCGTTCATGGTCATCTTCCTCTGTAAAACAGTAAAAAAAATAAAAAAAAAAATAAAAACAAATGTACATATTTCCTATTTACTTAAAGCAGAAGTTCAAAAAATGCCCCGCCACAAATGTAACCACTAATTGGGCCAGGAAGGGGGAGTAGTGGTCAGTTCTGAGGGCGCTTGGGCAAACTCAGGTGAACTGAATTCACACCAAGCCCATCACTAATCTGTATGTTGCAGTACACTAATCAAAATGAATAGCACCACAACACACTGTTCTGTTTCTTGCATTGCAGCAAAGCACAGATGTGAATAGGTCCATAAATCCTCAATCAGCTGCCAGACCTTGCAACTTGTGGCATCTGACATCTGAGACTGACATGCTGCAGTGCGTGTCAGTACCAGTGCCACTAAGGTTATTATTGGCTGTCCCTGAGTTTGGGGCAGCCTAATAATAACTAAAAATGTATTTAAAAGGATCAAGCAGTCATAGTGACATCCATTTGCAGTGACTGCTTGATACAATTGATAAGCCTGTAGGAAAAGTGACTTGTCACTTGTAACAAAAAACACACACAAAAAGCTACCATTATTTAAAAAAAACTATTAAAGGAGAACTATGAGGTGAGTGATTTTCAGTCACCTCATAGTTCGAGCTGACGTGTGACAATGAGACTGTCACAGGTCAGCTCAGTAGATCGGGAAGTGAGCGAACACATACCTGCGTTCGCTCACCTCTCGATCCTGTCCCTGCAGAGAGCTGTGATTGTCAGTCGGGGATTCCCCCCTCCCCTCCAGCGCTGACTGGCGGAACGGACGGGGGAGGGGGCGGGTACAGCTGGCTCAGCCTCTAGATAGGCAGAGACAGCTGTCACTCACACAGCTGGGTGAATCTTGACAGTAATGTCGGAAACCGTCCCGGCTGCCTCAATACATAGCGACCTGTAGTTTGCGCTATTTTGAGCTTTGGGTCACGGGAGGACGCTAGTATATGTCCTTCCGTGCCCCTTAGGAGAACTATGGGGAAAAACACTTACCCCATAGTTCTCATTTAACCCATCACAATGAAAATTTGAAGCTGAGCTGCAGATTTGAAGGAGTTCATTTTTTTTTAGCTTAACCCCCTCAAGACAGCGATGGTCAAAGTATGCCGCTGGCACTAAGTGCGACGCTTAGTGACAATGTATGTAAAGTGACCATTATTATACAGGAAAGAAAAACAAAATGTTAGCTTTCAGTTTTAGGGTAAGAAGTACAGAATCATTTCTGAAAACCCAGGCATGAGGTGTTTCCAAATAAAGGACAAATAAATGAATTTTATGTTTTTTAAGCTGTGGTATAAGGTTAAGGAAGAACTCCGGGGAAAATGACTAACCCTTGCAGTGGGGCTACCCCCTGCACTGCAAGGGTTAAGTGCTCGTTTGTGTCTAAAAAATTATTCCTGAAGTTTTACTTTAACCCTTTCGATATTGCATATGTCATATGTCAGCGGCAGCAGTCTCCCATCAGCTTTATCCATTTCCATGTGTAAAGCTGACTGCCGATTGCCTACCGGATGTGATATTCTTAAAGAGAGCCTGTCACCGCTGAAGTGCGATCACATAGGGGGCAGGGGTGTGCAACTCCGATCCTCCAGCTTTGGAACTACAAGTCCCATGAGGCATTGCAAGACTGACAGTTATAGGCATGACTGCCAGAGGCATGCTGGGATGTGTAGTTAAAGCACAGCTGGAGGGCCGGAGTCGCCCACCCTGGTAGCTTCATTACACTCAGAAGCTGAACACGCTTTTTCAGTTGTGGATGGAGCGATAACCCTTGTCAGTTTTACTGCTATCCGGTGTTCTATCGAAAGCTCCAACTCGTCGAAATCTCTAACTACGTCACTTCCGGTGCTCAGAAAGACTGGAGCTCTGTACAGTTGCGGTGCGCTCAGCGTTTTCAGAATACTCGTTGAGTTTGCCAGCTGCTGAATATTGTTAAAATGCAGTTGTACAGAGCTCCGTCAGTTTTTGCCTTTTGCAGTCTAACGCCGTCTGGTCGAAATCTCCAACTTGCAAGTACCCGGCAGTGAGGTAGTTGGAGATTTTGATGAGTTGGAGCTTTCGATAGAACAGAATTCCTGTCAGGTGTTACTGCTTTCTGGGGCCCCTTAGGGATTTCCCCTCACTTCCTGTTATTTTGTTTCTGACAGGAAGTGAGGGAAGATCTCCAAAGGTAACACATGGACATTCATTTTATAGTGTAGTAGTAAAGGGTTGTCCCCCTCTTTATGCTGTCTGTTTCCCTGTTGCAGTATTTCCCTCATTTCCTGTTTGGGGAAAGTGTCGGCGGAACAGGAAGTGAGGGGAGATCTCTGTAATGGAGCCCCGGTGTTCTATCGAAAGCTCCAACAGGAAATGAGGGAAATACTGCAACAGGGTAACAGACAGCATAAAGAGGGGGGCCAACCCTTTAATACACTATAAAATGAATCTCCATGTGTTACCTTTGGAGATCTTCCCTCACTTCCTGTCAGAAACAAAATAACAGGAAGTGAGGGGAAATCCCTAAGGGGCCCCAGAAAGCAGTTACACCTGACAGGAATTCTAATACTTCCTCACTTTATCCAAAACTAAACGAAAAATAGCCATAGATACACTTTAACATTCTCATTTAAAAGAATAAACATAACGATCTATACCAACCAATCACACTGAAGGCAGACCAGTGACAGAGATATGAGAGTCTGCTCCTCCTCCTAATGGATGTGTACACACAGCTGACTGAGGATATAGAACGTTACAGAGATAACATATAACCCACCCTGGGAGCCGCTCTCACCACACACAGATAAAAGAGCACATTTACGTAGTATACAATCCACGAGAAAATGGCAGGAAGACAGAACTACTCACCTAGGAAGCGGGAGCCGAGCAACACGCATGCGCACTGACACGTATTAGTGGCGCGCTGTACTATGAAGTATTGGCTGCAGCTCTGAGTGCGGCCACTAGATGGCGCAGTGTGACCGCGGTATTCCGCTTACAGACTCAATCTGAGAGCTGTGACACTGGCGAATATAAAATTTCACGCACACAATTGGGGAGATTTATATGCTAACAAACATTAATAACTCTAATTACTACTAGAAAAAGTGTACCGGGTAATGGTGCATTGGTGGTCAGTAGAGAAATGTTTGGCCACAGTGGTGGTCAGTGTAGATGTGTGTGGGTACAGTGGTGAAGTGTGTGGTAACAGTGATGGTGAAGTTCATGGGCAGGGCCGTAGCGAGGGTGGGGCTGGGGGCATGTGCCCAGGGTGCCGCTTTAGGCCCCATTCACACTGAGCGATTTATCGCACGGTAATTCCCACGATATCGCGGCTATTTACCGCGCGATATCGCTCCAATGCATCTCAATGTCCGTCGCAATGTCCGTCGCGGGTCGTGCGTCGCCACAGCAGGACCCTTTTTGGAGCGGATTTTGCCGCGATTTTAGCTTGCTCAATGCAAGCATTTGCACGACAAACGCGCGATTTGCGAATCGCTCAGTGTGAATGGGGCCTTAGGAGGGTGCCATTCAGGGGCGTAGCTAGAATCTTCAGGACCCTGGTGCAAGAAACCATGAAGGCCCCAACCACCATGGGAAGGAGCTGCGTAGAGTTGGCATGCTGGGATCTGAGGCTGTTGACAGGGCCCTCGTCCTCCTGTCTGCGCACTCCCAAATGGTGGAACTACCAGAGTCACAACTGCGACTAGGCCCTGGTGGTTAATATGGGCGGTCTCACCAGGGCTACGGGCGGTCTTATCAGGGCTGTGTGCTACGTGGAGAATCAGCAAGACTACCTGTGGTCTCAGTAGGGGTATGTGCGGTCTCACCAGAGCTACAGCGGGTGGACTCAGCAGGGCTACGGGTGGTTTCAGCAGGGCAGCGGGCGGTCTCACCAGGGATACAGGTGGTCTCACCAGGGCTCTGCAGGGTCTCAGGTGGATAGAGCGCAGGGTTAGAGCTGCTGACAGTTCACCCACCCTCCATGTCCGGGTCGGTTCTCTCTCTCCCCGGCTGCTCTCTGCCTGACACCACTCCTAGACCCCTCCTTCCCGGCGCCCTCAGGTGCAGCGCTGGCCGTGCTTGCAGAGTGACAGGAGTAGGGAGGGAGCCAGCGGCCAGGTAATAATATGAGTTACCCCCGCCACCCCTCCCGATGCGGCGCACGGGGCACATGCTCCCCCTGCCCTCCCCCCGTTGCTTCGGCACTGGCGCAGAATAAACCCTCCCTCTCACTGCCCTGCTCGGACAAGCTTTGGTCCATTGGAGCAGGCTGATGCATAGCCTCGGGCAGGCTAATGCGAGGCGAGGCTATGCATAGCAGGCCCAGCCCACAAGCTGCGCGCCCTCTTCTTTCTCTCTGGACCCCCCAACAGGCGGAACGCCAGGTGGTCATAGTGGCAATCAGTGGTGAAGTGTGTGGGCACAGTGGCAATCAGTGGGCACAGTGGCAGTCAAGGGGGAAGTGCATGGGTGCAGTGGCAAAGTGTGAAGACGTGTGTGGGCACAGTTAGTGGTGAAGTGTGTGGGCACAGTGGCAGCTAGTGGTAAAGTGTGTGGGCACAGTGGTGAAGTGTGTGGGCACAGTTTCAGCTGGTGGTGAAGTGTGGGCACAGTGGAAGTCAGTGGTGAAGTGTGTGGAAACAGTGACAGCCAGTGGTGAAGTGTGTGGGCACAATGGAAGTCAGTGGTGAAGTGTGTGGGCACAGTGGAAGTCAGTGGTGAAGTGTGTGGGCACAGTGGAAGTCAGTGGTGAAGTGTGTGGGCACAGTGGAAGTCAGTGGTGAAGTGTGTGGACACAGTGGAAGTCAGTGGTGAAGTGTGTGGAAACAGTGGTAGCCAGTGGTGAAGTGTGTGGGCACAGTAGAAGTCAGTGGTGAAGTGTGTGGGCACAGTGCCAGCCAGTGGTGTGTGGGCACAGTGGCAGTAAGGGGGCATGTGCATGGGTGCAGTGATGGTCAATGGCTAGTTGCAAAGGCACAGTCCCCATCATTGGGAATGTGTGCAGACACAGTGGAGAAGTGCGCAGTGGCAGTTGGCGGAGATGTGCATAGGTCCTGTGGAGGTCAGCGTGGGCACAGTGGCAAATGAAGTAGCAAAGTGCATGAGCACAGTGGAGTTCAGTGCAACCGCCACACCCCAGTTAAAATTTTAGGTAGATTGGCGAAGTGTTCAAATTTCTGTCAGATGTTTTAATTCTGCCACCATATTATGGAGCTTTTTCCTCACTTCCTGTCTCTATGACACCCAAATATGAAGTGAGTGGTGGAGGGTCATCAGGACAGGAAGCCTCAGACAGCAATAAAAAAAATGTCAGAAGTTCCAACCGTTTCCTACTCAGTGGCTCTGCAGGGTCTCATCAGGGATCTGTAGAGTTTTGCAAGGGCTCTATAGGGTCTCGGCAGGGCTTTGTAGGCTCTCGCCACCCTGGTTAAACCCTTCAGATCCCTGGTGAGACCCCACAGTGCCCTGGTTAAAGCAGGGCTCTGTGGGGTCTCACCAGGGCTCCGTCTGGTCTCACCGGGGTGAGATGTGGTCTCACCAGGGCTATGTGGGGTCTCACCAGCCTGGTTAGACCCCTTTAGGGCCCTGGTGAGACCCCTTAGAGCCCTGTTTAAAACAGGGCTCTGTGGGGTCTCACCAGCACCA